AATTATAAACATATACATTTGATTGATAAAAGTATATTTTCATGGACCGCAAACACTCACGTATGTATCCTGATCGTAAAGCTCCACTACGACGTTGGGAGGATTGGTCGTCATGGCGTCGGGGTCACCGAAAATCTCCAGCTCGTAGAAGATGAGCGTCTGGTCCCAGGTGGGATTCAAAGTGTTTCGCACCGTCACCGTCCTCTGGGACTGATGGAGGAACGACACGATGGCGTACGGGTCTGCACAGATAAAAACACGGAATGTTCACGAGTCGCTTGATTTACAGTGTTTGCTTAATGGCGGCCTCTTGTGTTCGCTCTTAAATTGTTTAAATTGACGTAAAACCCTGAGCCGAGAAAATGAAATGATGGTTAGTGGTAATAAGAGATTCTACGTTGTGTTTTTCAGGCGCTACCGTCGTCTCTGAGATGCTAAAGAAGGGATGAGGTTATTGTTGGAACCAGGGAGCGTGTCCTCACAAGTGTAGCAGTAAAAACCTATGAGTGTGTATGTGCGTGCCTCCACACTATCTCGGCGTCGCACACAGTGACATCATCAACTTGGGAATGCCGAGTTTGAGACGGAGGGCTGGGAACGCCGCTCGGAGAGGTTTGTTATTCCAGGTCATAACCACACTGCACACACACACACACACACACTCTGACTGACACACACACACACACACTCACTGACACACACACACACACACACGTACAGTTACACACACAGACGCAGTAGTTTATTATTTCAGGCCGAGTAAAGAGTCTCTATGGAGCCGTTAGCATCAGAGTAAACAGAAGCTAAGTTGCATTTTCCCACCAGCCCTCAATTAACCCTGGAGGTGACACATACACACACACACACACACACACACACACACACACACACACACACACACACACACACACGAACACTTACATAACCCCCCTGGGCTGTTTGTATTGCTGTTTATATGAGGTAATGGACTGTTGGGAATGGACATAATTGAATGGGTCACCAAGGGTGGTGTGTGTGTGTGTGTGTGTGTGTGTGTGTGTGTGTGTGTGTGTGTGCGCGTGTGGAAGCAGCAGTAGTCATCGGGAGCCGCGGAGGTAAATAAACACAAAGAAAACTGGGAGGAGAGATGGAGAGAGAGGGAAAGGAAAGACAGAGGGATGAAGGGAAAATAAGGGGGGGAGATAAATGGAGGAAAATAAGAGGAAGAGAAAAAAGGGGGAGGAGAGGAAGAAAATAAATGTTTAAGAGGTGAAGAGAGGATGGGAGGGGAAAAGAACGATTTTTGAATTTAGATAAAAAGAAAGAAAGCCTTTAATCATGGCCGCTCAGACTAACACCAGATCAACACACAACTGAAGTCCATCAATCAAATCTACTCATCCATTCAGCTGTGTGTGTGTGTGTGTGTGTGTGTGTGTGTGTGTGTGTGTGTGTGTGTGTGTGTGTGT